AATTTTTTTGGTGATACTAAGTATATTCCACAGGTATAAAGCCAATATATATATATATATATATATTTAGGTCATATAGTAAGTATTCTTAACATACAGCCGTGAAGCATACAATGTAATTCAAGTTATTCGAACCAAATTAGAATGAAAATTTTTATAAAATTTTTTAACCATTTTAACATACAAAAAATTAAATAAACAGTTAAGAAATTATAAAACTTATTTTTTAAATTGAAAATTTAAAAATTTTTTAGCGTCTTTAGGAATAGAGTTGTTAATAAAAGAGTATATCGATATGTGGATTTTAATAGGTATTATGGGTTTAGATGGGGACTCTAAATTTCAGCACGTCCGATTATGATCATCCGCGACAATTAATATTAGACCTTCACGCGCGTAATTATTTGTATATAGGGTGTCAATGTATTAACCAATACATAAGCTTAATCTATGAGGTTTTATTTTCTAATACAGTATAAAGTAACGAATTTAAGATTTATCAAAAAATTAACCAATCAGACGAACTTCTGCTATGTCCTGAGTAGTAGATGTGCCATTTATATGATACCCAAATTTTTTTCGCGTACAGTACGTACAGTACGTATAGTGCGTATAGTTGTTTCTAGCGATCTGATTGGTTGGGAGAATTCACCCGAAGTGATCGGCAAGAATTTTCGCGTACAGTACGTACAGTACGTGCGTACTGTACGTATAGTACTGTACGCGGCACATCACTAGTCCTGAGACTGAATTTGCAACATGGCTTTATTATCGTTATGTTATCGATAATGTATCCCCCTTGAGAATATAGGAAAATTTCAAAACTGTGCATGTTACGAAGGACATTTTGTTAAATTGGAATTGAAGCCTAGTGTGTTGTATGATTAATCAAGCAATTCATTCATGTAATCAAATACTGTACAGTTAAAGTTCACGAATGAGTGTATTTTTAGCATAAAAACTAATTTTAATAACAGAACTTTAATTTTAAAAAGGACAAAAACAAGCAGTACAATAAGTTACAGTTTCTCTAACTCACAAAGCAATTAAAATGCAATATATTTTCGAAACCTATTATATTCAAATATTTGATTGACATTTCTCCGAATTTGAATCTGGGGAAATGTAGCTAATAACGAATAAAAAGCGTTTACTAAAATATTTGTTACATAATATTCCAAGTTAGATGATTCTCTTTGACTATGCGTTGATTGGTTAATTGTAACTTTTTTTTATCAGTATAAATGCAAATAAAATTAAACTTACGACTATTACAATAGCAAATATTTTTTTTTTTTAAGTTTTTATTTAAATATACTGAATAAAAGATCCTTTTTTTGGACTAGTGGTAAGATGTAATAAAATGCAATACGATAAAGTTTCCTCCAAAAGTAATTCGACAAGATGCAGAAAATAATTAATAAATCCCGAAAAATACAATTAAAAAAAAATGTCAAAATTATGAAACTTAGAGATTGCATTTAGGAGGTCGTATTTCGTACATACAGTACATTTAATAAAACAAAGCATGTAACAGATTATTAGTTTAAATTAAATGTAAGGAATCATGTGATGTGACACAACAAATTCGTGTTACATTAATTAATTAAAGTAAAATGGCGGCAAATTTATATTTAGCGGGACTTTTTTTTAAGCATCTGTTATCATTATTAGATCCGTTCAAAGCCTATCCGTATCAGGCATATATGAGAAGCATAAATATAGCCTATCGCAATCATTATCTTAACAGTTAGATCGAAGAGGTTTATCAAAAAACCCATGACATAAACAAGTGTCAAATTAATTATGCAGTAAAGAAAATGAACAAATTAAAATTTACAGATTTGTTTATTCATAGTATAATCATTGTATGTTATTATAAGAATAAGTTCATATTATATAAATGGTCGAAGATTAAAGTTCTGTATACGAAAAAAATTTTTTTTTCAGGTATGCCTTAAGAGACATGTTCCAGTTTTTTATGCATTGATTCTAGAATAAGAATTTTCCTTTTAAGACCGAAAGTATGTCCAAAAAAAGTCTGTCCTGAACTTTATTAAAAGAATGATTGTATTAATTGTATTAATAATATTTATATCAAAGAATACATACATCAAAGTTAGAACTTTATTTTTATATTTGGTTTTTTGTGAGTTTAATGATTGGTTTTCGTATAAACTCTTAAAATGCATAACGAAAAAGTTTTGAAATTGCATATAATATATATATATATCTAAACTACGTATCACTGAAAAGATTTCACATGAAATTTTAAAAGTAAACTTTCATTTTTTGACACTCGTTATTATTGTGTAATTAAACAAAATGCATTTCACTTGGATAAATGCATTAATTTAACTTTGAGATAGTAATATGATTTGTGAGGTAAATGCAAGATATATAAAAACTTATTAATAAACTTGTACGTATTACGGAAAAGATAAATTTTTCAAGTAATCTGATAACTGATAACTGATAACGATAAATTTAATAGTTAACAGTTAACAGTTAGCGATTAAGTACGTACGTACGTACTGCATCAGTACGTAAATTCGTACATTACATACACATACGTAGGGGAGGAATTCCAGGTTAAAGAAATGTTAAAAGATAGCTAGATCCTCCTTATGTCATCAGTCATCATATAAATATTTACCGGAACTACGCATCTAAATTTGACTTGTGTTTACACTAAATAAGAACGTTGTGAACATAACATTTCAACTCAAATAGTAAATCACAAAATGACTGATAAAGTCCTTTTAAAGATTATCATACAGATTAAAAAATTAATATATAATATCTAAAATGAATTTATTGTTTGTCTTACAGAACAGACTTTGATAATTATCTTTATACGTATATATAAATAGATAAATTTTAATCATTCCTTTATTAAAAGGTTTATCCAAATTAACATTATCATCAAATTAACATTATCATTAAACTATCGTTACTTATTAAAAATTACTTTTATTATCCCGCCAAAAAAAAATGATTTATGGTCTGCGATTGACAAATCAAAGAAGTAAAAATGATTTCGATGAAGACCAATTGTCACCGGTTGACGATGAAATTCTAAATATAGAGGGTGGCGAATATTTCCTTCCAAGTGCTGATAAAGATATTGAAAGATTACAAATGCAACACTTTCTTTTTAGATATATCTGGGATGGAAATTTTTCGTCACCAATTCATGATAAATTTATTGATGGAGGTGTTAAAGTGTTGGATATTCAGTACGTATTTAAAATATAAAATTTTTAAAAAAAATCCTGAATAAATTAATTAATTAAATAAATCATTTACTTTAGATGCGGTTCCGGAATCTTTATTACTGATTTAGCTACCCAATATCCAACATCAACCTTTATCGGTATAGATGATGATGAAGCTCGTTCTCGCATTCAAATAGAATTGCCAAATGCTGAATTTCTTCATCACAGTGATATGCTAGAAGGGTTACCATTTCCCGGTTAATGTTCTAAAATTATTTAATTAAAAAATATATATATATATATATATTTAATTAAAAAAAAAATTCTTTGTCTAACAAAATTTTTTATACTTTTATTTCTAGATGATACCTTTGACTTTGTGAATCAAAGATTATTTACGGCTGTATCCATTAATAAATGGGAAAAGTTTATCTTACCAGAAATTGTTCGTGTCTTGAAACCAGATGCATATTTGGAGTTTATGGTTAATATTCTTTTATTTTACATTTTAAAATCTTTATTTCTTATAATAATAATAAAGTATGTGATTTTTTTTTTAATAACTTATGCTTTTAGGAGTTGCCAGTTTGGAGTAATATGGGCCCCGTTACAAAACAAATAATGAAATCATGTATGTGTTTTTGTTTAACATTATTGTACAATTTCGATTGACAATGATCATTGATGTTTTATCGTTAATAGATGATGAATATCTAGAAACAAGAGGTGTTTATCACACAGAACCTCTTCTATTGGAGCAGATTTTAAACCTCACGGGGCTTGTCAAAAATATTCATAGTTACGCAAAAACCACTCATTTATGGAAAGGGATGATTGGTCAATTGGTATGTTGTGTTTACTGTGCCATCCTTATTATGTTCGTGTCACGTGATACTTATATCTGATATATTTAGGTATTTCGAAATCAACTTCAAAAAATTGATTCTAATAAATCTGGTTTATGTGAATATTTACAAATAAGTGAAAAACAATTTGACAGTATGTTAGAAACAATGAGCGATGAAGTAGTTAATTATAAGAGTTCTCTTACAACGTATAGGTATATATATATTTTTTTCTTTTATTTTCAAAATTTTTTATATTCATCTTTTCTTTCTATTATAGAATTTATGCGGAAAAAATTTAAACCTTATTTGTATACTCTTTTTATCTATGAAAATATTTATTTATATATATGAAATTTTTCTTTCTTAGTGTAATATAATTCCCTATTTGTATTATTAGTATGATTGTATATATGTTGTGTGTTGGAAAATCAGAATATAGATAAAATTTGGAATCAACTTAAATAGATTCCAAATAAAAATATATAGTAAGCCCATATAAAATTAATTATCGGTTTTCATAACTTTTAACCGGGTTAAAAAGTTTTTTTTTTAAAAAAAAAAAATTGGGTTTAAATTTTATATAAATGTTTGTTCTTTTTTTTTTTTTTTTTATATAAAATTTTTTAATAAAGCTGCTATTCAAACCGGCTCTGTTTATTTTATATATCCTAAGTTATAATGGAATTAAAAATTCTAAATTAACTGTTAACTTCAATTCGAATTAAATTATTTAATGTCACGGATAGAGGTGCGAATCATTCAGGGCGGCCCCCTAAAAGTGCCATGACGTAACTTATTGCGCAGCCGCAACGATTAATAAAAAGAATTTTGGCCGAAATTACACAAAATCTTGTAGTGAAATAGTAGAATCCTATTAAAAATAAATACTTTTAGGTGTATTTTACCAAGAAGCGAACCTACTGTATTATCTAAAAATTCTATTGAGGATCAAACAACTTGGATTTTTCAGCCAAAATTGAAAAATTTAAATATACGTATCGATATCCCCTATATCCCATATATTATACATGTGTCACATTCGTTATATTTGTCGCTTGCATCCATGCGACTCATGTAACGGACGTGACAGATGCGACTTGTCCCACCATTTGTGTTCCGGAAGGAACGTGACTATTTAATCACGTTACTTATCATGGTTTTCCTTCCTTATTTCCTTCTTCACACTACATACCGTATCCGAAATGTCTAACAACCAACACTAAAGGTCCATAAGATTTACTTAGTATATGTAAATTGTAGCACAGCAAAAACAATCAATCAAGAGTATACATACTTTAAGATACCACAATATAATTGAAAAATTAAAGAGAAAGCTTCGTTGTTCATTAAAATAAATCGGAACGATGGACTTATATACTATTTCATACTGGAGAATGCCGCGTGATGGCGCGTACATTCTCCACAACTCTATCCTATTTTCTATGAGATACAAAAATACATTAAGTAACAACCTGGGGATAAATTTTTTTATCCCCTGGCCAACTCCATCCACATGACTTTTTTTATGTACTTATTTCTGCTGGATATAAATCATATTAATTTCTAGAAAATTGGTAATAGTAAAAACTTATCACAATAAATAAATATGCAAGTATTTGCTCTTTAAAATAAAAAAGGAAGGTTTTGGACGAAGTACATGAAAAAAGTTATGTGGATGACAGAGGATAACAATTACAAGCACTCTATTAAACTCACCATATACATGTATGGAAAATACACTAACTTTCGAGAAAGTTTTGCAAGACCCATTCTTTAAATCTTTCGCCAATATCTTCTAACATGTAGGAGTTGCCAATTGGTAATTTGACGCATCCGTCCCACATTGATCCTTAGTTCCGAAACCACTGCTGATTTCCGATGGCCAATTTCGATGTTGATTCTTTCTAACCTTATGATTAAAACACCATTGGACTTTTGTTTATACGATGTTACACATTTACGCTGACTACGACAAGATTGTACTGAATCCAGGGCTCTTTCTCTTCTTTAAAAAAACTATAATAAGGATTTGCAACAAATATCAGAATTAATGCAAACAAAGTAGAAGACATACATACATTTGATAGTTAATCTTTTTTCGAGACCAAGAAGCATACATTTAATTGATGAATGAATTATATATGCTCCGTAGTCAGCTTCTGATATTTTTGATTGCTGCATAACTGAATTGTTTGGGTATACATCTCGATGACTTAATAAATCGGTATAGGATATAACAAATGATATTTACTTACAATATAGTTAATATTTAATAAAAAAAAATGTAAAAACATCTGGAATACAGGTTACATTTAATATTTCAAGAACACGCTTTCTGGAATCCTCTTCATTGATCATTATTAAGTTTTTCAGAAATTTGTATTTCTTTTATATATTTACCCAAAGATTCGAACGATTTCTGTTCAAAATATAATTTTAAATTTTTCGATAAGGTAAAGAGCCAAGATAAAAATGTAAAAAAATACTAGTTTTAAAAGTCTAGAAACAAGCTCTGGTGGATCAAAAATATTGAGTCGTTTTGTGTATTGTTTGATTTCTTCATATTCCTCAACACTGCACCATTTAGAACGTGCAATTTTGTAACCACAGCGGACAATCTTCCAGGCCTCAGGCCTAAAAATTAATTTATAATTAGAATTGTCTCAGTTATTAATATTGGTTATTAAACAACAAATTGTAATCTACCTGAGGGGATTCCTTTTGTTTGTGCAGACTTAGCAAGAAGATCACTAACAGCTGCGCCCGATTTTAAATACCATTTATTCAAACATTCTCGTCAAAATGACGTTCATAATTTCCGATCCTATGATCAAAATTTCTACTCTGAAAAACAATTATATTTGCGAGACCCATTATAGAATTATTTAAGATATAGATAAAACAGTTCTCATTTATAATAACCTTATTTGATTCAAAACTGTTGACACTCTCTTCATTTACTTTTCTTCCGTCTACATAGTCGTCAAAAGACTTTGCCTAAAGGTCTGTCATAGTATAATCATTTAAAAAGATATAATCTCCATTTTCTCTTCTGTTATACGATCCGATAGGCTTAATAAATTTAAAAATAATAAATAATAGCAATTTATTACAATGAAGATGTTTATATAAATATTTTAAAGAGTAGCAAAAAAGGTTTAAAAAACCTTGCTTCGTGGAGGTGGAGTCCGCTCATAGATTTGCCTATGTTCTATTATAAGTTCAGACAAATAAGACACAACAGCAAAAAAATAGTCTAACAATATAGATTTAGCGTTCGAATACTACAGTACTTACTGGTAGTTGATGGTCCTTCATTTTCTTTGTTCGTCTTTAATATATAAATAGAGAATAAAAAGAAATTAATGAAATATTCATTTAGTATTTTCATTAATAGCAGAGCAAACGTAAGATTCTTTTCTAATAAAGAAGGTACATAGTCGATTCTTTCTTGAGAATCAGTAGACCTTATCCAAGAACCTTCATTGAATTGTATATCCCTTTATGGTAACAATTAAACCATCCTTAGACTTATAAAGCAACGGCTGATTAAGAGAAGGACGTTCACAGGAAATCCTGTGGCCACGATGCGCTTCCAGTTCTCTAAATCACTTGGTTCGCTCCGTAATCACCTTCGCAGCATTGTTTTATACGACTACACCCTTTCTCTCATCTATAGTTGTTAGGCGAAACTGTTTTACAAAAATGGCGAAAGACGAAACCTAAACCCAAAAAAGGCGAAAGACGAAACCCCTGGGCGAAAGGCGAAACTCCTGGCAAAAGGCGAAACCCCTGGCGAAAGGCGAAACCCCTGGCGAAAGACGAAACCTCTGATGAAAGGTGAACTAGTGAAGATGAAACCCTGGTGAAAACGAAACGACTGGTATCTGAACTTTAATAAAAGCGAAGCTAAAGGAGATAAACAAAAAAATAATTTCATTAGCTATATATTGTTTTGAAAGATCAAATAGTTAGTTCTTTAAACTCTATCTCATCTCAGCAACTATCTAATCAAATTCAATGAAATTTTTTTTATTTTAATTCTATGAATTTGCAAAAAAATTTTCATCGAAATTAACTAGGTATTTGTCAAGCTATATTGTTCGAAAGTTAGCAAACAATTAAAAACATCTAAAATAAAAGATGCGCCAAAATTGAACATCCGCCTGATAAAATTTAATGAACCTTTTTTTATTGCCATTTTTAAATCGGTAGAATTAGAAAAAAATTTCTATCGAATTTTGTCTGGTATCTTCGAGATAGCTTCGTTCAAAGTTTTAAAAAATTCCAGTAAGCTTATTTTATTAGAAGCTTTGAGATGTTTAATATGAGCAATGACTTCTCAATAACCGCTTGATTAATTCAATGAAAACTTTTTTCTTTCAATTCTAAAAGAAACAAATTTATTTTTTCGTTTAAATTATTTAGATTTTTTAAATTTAAATTTATATCTTTAATTCGTGATCCGCGTAAGAACCAGTGAAACATCATAGTAAAAAGTTGAAAAATTTATTATTAAATTTTGACTTTGTTGGAATCTGAAGGTTCCAAAAAAATAACTTATTTTTTTATTAAGTAAACCTTTGCTTCTAATAAAAGTTGTAGAGAAAAAAATTTCAGTCATAATGGTTGTTAAAATGGCCTAGTGGATCACAAGATATGAGCTTTTTAGTCTTCACAGCTATATGTTTACATTGTTTTGATTATACAGCTGTGAAGACTAAAATGCTCATATCTCGTGATCCACTAGGCCGATTTTAGCGTTTTGACAACCATTATGATCAGAATTTTTTTCTCTACAACTTTTATTAGAAGATAAATGAAGTTTACTTAATAAAGAAAATAAGTTATCTTTTGGGAA